AAGCCCTCCTGGAGGTGGCGAGCTGCTTACCGGGCAGAGAGGGTACTGCCTGGCTTGCGTTTATTTAAATTAAATCCTTTCCTACGAGTATGTAAGGCCGAGATAAAACCACAGTGGCGGTCTGGCTGTACCGTCACTTTCAGGTTATTGAAAAACAGGGGAAATGACAATAAGCCATTTTTTTTTATTATTATCTAATTTGACCACTGAGAGAAAGAGGGAGAGTGAGGAAGCAGTTACCAGGTCCTGAACTTGAACCGTGATCAGCTATGTGGGAGTCTAGCACCTCAACCACCACGCCATCTGCTGGCCTTAATAAGCCATTTTTTTTTAATTAAAAAAAATGCTATAGGGTGTGTGGGCTCGCCAGAAGGACAGAGAGACAGAAATCAAGAAACCACCCCCCAGGGGGGATGGCCACGCTGCAATCCCTTTTCTCTAGGAATCTTGGGCACACAAGCACCTGGCATGCGTTTAAGCCACCAGGTCCAGGACTCGAACCACTATCAACTATGTGAGAGTCCAGCGACATAACCATTACGCCAACTGCCAGTCCCACCAATAAACCATTTTTAAACAGAGATTTGTAAGCTTTTTTTCTCTGTGGATGTTTACATAGGTCCTGTAACTGGACATCACTGCTTCTCTGTTCTGGTTGGGGGGCAGGAGAGAGAGAGAAGCTTTACTTGGTCTTTTACTCTGTTGGCATCTCTTTGTCATAATCAAAATGCTGATATATGAATGTGAGGGCTCTTCAGAAAGGTTGTGTAAAAATGCAATTAAATAGTGCGAGTTTATTTTGGTGCAAAAAAAATTTGAAATCCATGCATAGTTTTTTCCTTTTTTTATATAATAAGCATTTTCCATGTGTTTTTTTAAGACCTGCCCTCTACATAGGTTTTCCCCTTTACCTCCATCTGACAGAATAAACCATTTTGTAAAATTCTGGCCTCCATCCCAGGCTTTCATAATGAGCCTTTATGATGAAATTAAGCACACCAAGCTCTCTCACTTACAACGCAACCTTAGCCCTGCCCTCCTCACAGAGACCAAGAGGGGAGGGAAGTTGCCTGGCAGAATATGCCTGATGCAATGGCTGTCCCTAGATAGTCCATTGTAGAATGTGTAATCTTTGAGTGGATACAGGCATCCAAACATACTGTACAGCACTTAGCAGAGATAGCTGCTCTCTACGGAATCACTGATCTTAGCAACAATGGTAATGAATTCTTACTACATTTTAGTAAGTACGATAGTGTACATAAGTTTATCTTCAATCCTAAAGTGAATGGTAAGATGTACAGTATCATTCTTAAATATTAGAATATTCATATAAAGTCTACCTAAAACACAGCTTATTTTGCTGCTTATAGCTAAAAACCATGGGTTTAAGTGAGTTTTAACATTAGCCACCTTGGGGCCAGTGATGGCAGTTTGAATCCCTGACCCAGTGGTTCAGAAGCCATACTAGGCCTGTGTACATGCATTTTCAAGATCCCAAGAGGAGACTGGAAAAGGAATTGTGGCATGACTATCCCTCTTGGGGGTGATTTCTCACTTTTTTCCCTCCCTGTCTCTTTGTCTCTCTGTCTTCTGCGTGTGCGTGCACCCTATGGCAAAAAACTTAAAAAAAAAATTAACTACAAGAAGATCACATAGTGGTTAGGGCATTGAACACCCACTTGGCTAAATGTGGTTCAAATCTTGAACTGGGGGACTGGTAATTAGCATAATGGCTATGTTGTTGGACTCCCATGTAGTTGACTGCAGTTCGAGTCCCAGACCCAGTGGCTTAAACTCACACTGGGCGCGTGTGTGTGCATGCCCAAGATCCCAAGAGGAAAAAGGAGGAGAAGGGATTGTGATGTGGCCATCCCCCCTGGGAGGTGATTTCTCGCTTTCTATCTCTCTGTCTCTCTCTGTCTTACTGGCAAATGCACACGCCCTATAGCAAAAAACCTCTCCAAAAAAAAAAAAAAAATTGAACTGGGTGGCTTGAAACACAGGTTGAATACATGTGTGTGGGTACCCAAAATTTTGAGAGGAGAATTGGAGGAGAAGGGACTGAGGTGTGGCCATCCACCTTGAGGGGTAATTTCTTGCTTTCTGTCTGTCTCTGTCTTTCCAGTGAATACATGCACCCTACAGCAAATCTCTCTCTCTCTCTCCAAAGAAATAAATACATAAATAATGACTGGCTTTAAAACTGCAAGTATACTGAACATCCAAGTCAGGCAGAGCTTGCCCTTACTGCTTCCTTAGAGCTCATCCCTAGATTTGCACTTGGTTATACAGATACAGTAAATGCTGTCCATTGATTGCTCGGTTTCCCTGCCAGGAATCTGTAAGTAACTTCAAAACGCAGCACAAATCAAATGCAAATAGGAATCAATGAAAGAACAGACCCCGGAGTGACTAACTGCGCTAGAGCTTAAGAAACTGTCCCTGTCTTTCCTTGTCAGCTCTGGAGAGCAACTTCACAGTTAAGCAAAGCTGCTTTCAAAAGAAACCTAGAGTTGAAAAAAAAAAAAAAAAGAAAAGAAAACAAAAAACAAACAAAAAAAAACGGTAAAACTATTCGTACCATTTAATATGTGCATAAGCAAGAAAGTAGAAGTGGGATAATGAATGTTAGGGAAAAAAAAAAAACGAAAACAAAAAACAAACAAAAGAAACCTGGAGTTAAAAGTCACAGAGTAATTATCCCACCCCAGGGAGAAAGATAAAGATCAAGGTTGAAAGAGCAAGACTAAGTTCAGCAGAAGCACCTCAAACTGCACTGTGAAATTAACCATAAGGTTCTAGTTGGATTAAAATCACCATCTGCAAGTCTGGCTGAGGTTTATCAAGATAAACTGAATAATGTTTTCCAAGGGTGTTGGAAAAGAATATGCAGCCACGCACTCTGTGGCACTCCCGTGAAGAGAGATGGGGAACACTCGGAAGCACATCTGTGTGGGAAAGGTATGAGACTTACTGTAAAAGAGAAAATGCGTGGTACTTGAAAAGGAGTTCATGCTCGTGGCTCAGAGGCTCTCCAGCGTTCCGGTTCTGGTGGTAAGTGACAGTAGGTAGTACATATTGATAACATTTGATCATTAAAAGAAACCATGACAAGAAAACATTTAATTAATAACATATGGGGGAGTGATTTTGTCTTAGAACCTTCATAGGAATTTGAACGAAACTTGCTCTTTTAGTCATCAGCTGTCAGAAGCTTCAAAAAATCATGACATATTAATGAAACCACATGAAATGAGCGTAAAATAATAGGTTTGTGAATTTGAGGTTAAATAATTTTTCAAAAATAACCCTATTCAGGACTAGCAGATGGTATAATGATTATGTTTCTGGACTCCCACTTAATTGACCACAGTTCGAGTCCCAAACCAGGCAGCTTAAAACTCACATCAGACACATGTGTGTGCATACCCAAGATCCCAAAAGGAGATTGAAGGAGAAGGAATTCTGGTGTCACCATGCCCCCAGAAAGTGAGCATGATTTCTCACTTTCTGTCTCTGTCTCCCAACTGCGCACACACAACCTATCGTAAAAATCTCTCTTAAAAAAATAACCCTTGGGAACCAGCAGTTAGCGTAATGGCTATGTCGCTGGACTCCCACGTAGTCGACCGCGGTTCGCATCCTGGACCCGGTGGCTTAAAACTCATGCCAGGCGTGTGTGCGTGCGTGCCCAAGATCCCGAGAACGGAGGAGAAGGGATTGCGGCGTGACCATCCCTCCTGGGGGGTGATTTCTCGTTTTCTGTCTCCCTGTCTCCCTCTGTCTGGCGAGCGCATGCGCCCTGTAGTGAAAACCTCTCCAAAAAAAAAAAAATAAAAAAATAATAACCCTTTCCCTTAGGTGTTGAAAAGCATGAAGACCACCTACTGAACGTGGATCATCTTCTGAACATGGGATCTTCAAAAAGTTTATAGAAATGTTATGGGGCCAGCAGGTGGCATGGAGGCAACTAGATCCCCAATGGTCGATTGCACAATTGAGTCTCGGACCCGATAGCTTGGTAAAACATACCAGGTAAGTGTGCATGCATGCCAAAACTCCCAACAGGAGAATGGAAGAGAAGGGATTTCGTTGTGGCTGTCCACCTGGGGGACACTTTCTCACTTCCTCTCTCTCTCTCGCTTGCTCTCTTTCTCTCCAGCAAGCACACATACCCTATAGCAAACTTAAATAAATAAAGTCAAATGTTTGTTCATTTGTGTGTGTGCTCTTTATTAAATTCAGTGTTTGACAAAGTTATCAATGCAATCAGTAATATAAATTTTCCCACGTTGTATTTTATTCTTGAGGTGATCTGAGCTTATATTACACATTTTTCTCACCATTTACTTGAAACCCAAGGTAAAATTGTCTTCTTAAAAATCCATTTAGTTGGAAACAGCAGATGGCATAATGGTTATGTCTCTGGATTCCCACATGACCAACCACAGCTCGAGTCCCAATCCCAGAGACTTGAAACTCTCACTGGGCACATGTGCATGCATGCCTAAAATCCTGGGAGGAGAAGG